CTAATTTTTTGTTCCCGATTTTTGTATTTTTGAGCGGTAATTTTCGGTGTATGGATTAATTTATACCCAGACTGAGTTACCAAATTTATGCGAAAATTTTCAGATGATGAAAAAGGCTGGTTTCTTTTACGACAATACGCTGATAGCTGATCCAGGACCAGATGGAGAGCCATATTGGCCACAAACTCTCGATTATCGCGTTTCCTGGCCATGTTTGGATGAAAATTGCCCACAAAGGTTGTATCGGTTTATGCTGCTTACAATTTTCAGTAATCCAACAAGTAATTTAAGCTCATTCAAGAGCATCACTAAGGGCAGAAACACTGTCTGAGTGAAGGAAGTAGATAGGGGTAATAAGAGCGACAAATTAATATGCAGAAGGTAAGATACACCGGTTCATTCATAAGCGGATCCAGGGGGAGGGGAACGGAGGGGTTAGCCACACGAGCACCACTACTGCAAAAGCCCTGGTCTAAAATTACTACTAAAGTTAACTAAGGTCTAAAGTAACTCTGAGTTAAATAACTCTAAGTAGCTGCGTTACATCTTCCTTCCTAGTTTTCGCATAGTTCCGGAGTGAATAGAAATTCTCCTCCCCACTTCCCATCGCTCCCTTCCAGAAAAAAGCCTCACTCTTCTTCTCACTTCCCGTCACCTCACCCCAGGAATCCGTCCTGGATCCACCTATGGGTTCATGAAGTTGTAGACATCTTAGTTCAGCTGGGCGCGCATCTATACCGCATCGAAGCTGACTTTTTTTTTGAGGCACAGTCTCCGTCCATATTTGGAACTAAACTCAGGAATCACCTTGCATTTATCTTTATTTCCTGGCCCGTCACGTTAGGTCTAAATCTGAGTAATTTGGTTTAGTTACTTTTTACAACGTACCGCAATTAATTAGCTGATTTATAATTTGCAGTTCTTTTCCTGGTATCTGGGAAATTCCAATTAACTTGTTCCATGGAGCCCAAAAAATTGGTGCTGAGAGAAGACGTTCGTCAATGATTCGCGGTGCTGTCCAGTGGAATTCCTCAGCTTCTGATATCGTAAGTTTTTAACAGCCTGTGATGCATTTCGACCATTTATCACCGGCTTGAAAATTTACTGGTGGATTAGCGCATTCTTCTCAAACAATCAGTTTTCCCCAAAAGTCAGAGTGCAGATTTTTCGGTCTGCTCTCATTATTTAAGACTTTGCCTCAATCTCTCTCTCTCTTTCTCTTCCCAAAAGTGGAGTACGAAGGGATTCGAAGGTTCCAGTGTATGTAAGGTTTGCAAACAAACCGTCTATCACTCGAAGCAACAGCGCTAACAGCGACTATTTGAATTCGAAATACCCGTTCAACCCTATCCATTAGCGGACCTAAAAGGGGGGGAAGCGAGGGATTTTTCGCTCCTTCTCCTCGGCGACACAGATTGCAGTGCTAAAATTGAAGGGAACTGTCTTCGACATTACTCCCCTTCCCGCCTCTCCCTCCCCTCCCCCCCCCCCCCCCCC